AAATGCCGTGTTTCATCTCCAATCTAACGCCATTTTACCGCTAAAACAGTCGTTTTCTTTCGCGCCTTTCTTCCCAACCTGTTCGGTAGAGAGAAAAAATGGCGCAGATGAACAGTGCGACGCCAATATTGGCGTCACACTATTCATCCGCGATCAAATGACGTCAAAAATAGCGATCGGTTGGAGCAAAGCAAGAACGGCAAACAAGTGTTTGCCGTTCGGTTGGAGATGCCCTAACCCTCACAAATCACGAGGCTTGCGTCGAATCCGGTCAAAGAGTCAATCAGGTTCACACACGCAGCACCGCTACGATACGACACGTGCCGGAATACTGACCGTCAAAATAAAAACGGCGGTAACCTCACATGTGTGACGGGAATGTGGGGAAGCTGGAGCGTGGTGATGTGGGCCCAATTTTAGTATTACCAAAATAGGCTGAACAGCTCTCATTTTCGGGATCACGTGACTGCCGTAATATGTTGCATCTCATTCGCGGAGAGAGATGTCGTCACGTGCGCGGCCATGTCGGTTCCACCGTCTCATTTCACTTTTTAAACCATAAGAATGATTATCGCTTCTCAATACAAATTAGATAATATTCTATTCCACTTTTAATTATGAGGTTTTTGATCGGACGATTATAGTTTAACATGTCGAACGGAATGGAATGATGTAATAAATAATTAATAATATATAAAATAATAAAAAAAGTAATATAATAATATGATAATCTATCATTTAAATCTCAATTTTAAGAATTTGAACTCTGTATTTTTTGGCTGATTATTACATATTATTTATTAATATAATTAAATTGAAATGGTGACTATAATTATATGCTATAATTAAATTATTGAAGCCTGACATGTTAAACAACCATCCCCCCAGCAAGCAATCGAATTGCTTCATGGACCATTTGGGCAACCATTATGACAAACACTTAGAGTGCACTTGGCATCTTCATTTTGCTCATACAATTTGTGCAGGAAATTCCAACAAGTTTCCAATCTTCTCCTCTAACCTAGCTAGAATTCTTATCCAAATCATTAAATTTTAATATTGACAAATCAACGTCCACACTTTGAGACAATCAAATTGGGAACATAATCGCTAACCTGTAGGTTGCTACTTAGTTCTTGCTCGTGGTCGATCGGACATGCTCAATTGGTCCTGCTTGCGAAACCCATCTAACTTGAGAGGAGCAACTTATGAACCTTGGTCGACCTCTGCATCGCATTTAGACATGTCTTTGCTTGGAGCATCCGAAAAAGCTATTGTATCGGACATTACCATTTCCCAATCGCAAATTGTCCTATGCGAAGAGTTCTGCACCTCACGATCGCGAGCCACCTCCCGATCACGAACCATCCCAACCGAAGGGATCAAAGTCAGTTTGATCCACATGTATCAAGGCTACGTCCGACACCCGATTGTGAAACTATTCGGTTTTTTAAAATCGGCGCCGGTTCTCTTGTTCTACGGTCAGACCACCAATCCTACTATTTTGGCCGGTCTTATATGAGATCGGTTATGTGATGGAAGCGAATCGGCCAGTCAATCGGTTCACGATTCAACCGGTTGAACTAACCTATCCCGTTCGGTTTTACATACCTTGGATAATACAAAGAGCACATTGTTGATTAGGGCGACAAGGAGGGCTATATTTAATATTTGGACCTGTATTATTGTATGTGATGCTCATAACAATAATATTATAATGTTAAGATAAATATTGATTAGAGATAAGCATGGTTTGATCTTTTAAGTATAGATTATTGTTATTTATATAATATAAATAGTGCTGTCATTGTGCATACTACTAATAATTTATTATTCCAAATCTAATTACGTAATTATGCATATAATTAATCACTTTTTATACACTAATTAGATACATTGGTTACTGCCATGGATCTGCCAAACCTTCTTGACTTGTAGTTCATTGTCTTCTAAGCTTTTTTTTGACACCGGTGGTTAGCTGATCTTTTCACGAGGGAGGTGGGCCCATTCTATTATTTGCTTGACAGAAATAGGAATCTTCTGATTGGGTAGAGACAAAATGTAATGGGGCCCATATTTGCCACCTTGGAAACAGTTCAGACTAGCGGGCCACCACCCTGGATAACTACTTATATCAATCAAAAGATTTTATATTTGAATTTTATGAATATGATATGTGTATAAATTTGATTTAATTAACATAAATGTCTCAAAAAAATTATATCAAAGAAATCTCATATATTATTATTATTGTTTTAAATTATGAGATTTTTATAGAGTCAAATTTTAAGGCTTTTTTTAAGATAATTTTTTTTTAATTGAGAATAATAAACTTCTATATAACTTATAAAATTTAGTAAATTATTTCAAGAAGATCAAGCCCATTATTTATTCATTTTTCACGTAGAAAAAATATTAATTTCTATTATATTATTCTCTTTTATCTTTAAGCTAAATTTTTATACAAAATTATGATATAAAATTCTCTTTATTATTGTAAATTTTCTGCACACAATAATATCATACATCTTTAAATTCCTTATTTTTTTAAATTTCATCATAATATTCCAATGCAATTTTTTAATGTATATTGCTTTATTATTTTTAATGAAAAATATTGGGTAAGAACGCTCTAGTTAACTCCCAAATAAAAAATATTCTGATTAAAATTTTTAACAGATAAAACGTTATTAAGTTAAGATATTTTAATTAAAATTTTAATTAGTATGACTTTAAAAAATTAAATATATTTTTAAATGAGAATAATATAAAAAATTTATTATTATATTAATCTCAAAATAGATTTAAAGATATTAAGAACCGTTTTAATTACTTTTTAATTAGAATATCACGAAAAGTTTTTTGGGGAAAAAAATTATTGGGACGTCCTATTTCATTTCCCAATATGAGTATTTTAAAATAATAGCATAAACTATTAGACACATTTTGTAACAAAAACTTAATGATGATTTAAATGTATATCATTAATTTTTTATGTACCTATATATCCAATTTTAAATTTAAATATGAGTTTATATTTAAAGTATATCACTGATATTAACTTATTTAAAGTAGAAAATAAAATATTTTAATATGATCTTTATATGACTATATATATATATATATATATATATATATTATCAAGTTCAACATAATCAAATAAAATTTTGTTTAATAAATAAGTTTGATGTATCATCAAAACTTTATCTTGATCGGGGCACAAATCTTGTTGCAAACATCGGGACCATCCAAATTTTAATTTCAGCAAGCTTATATTTAAAATGAAAGTCTCAAAGACATGAAACCAACTACACCAAAATCGGTAAAATTTGAACCCAAATGAGTCCAAATCGAGGGCCCAAAGCTTATTTGAAAGTTCCAGAATATTGATTGAATGACCAAATGATATTCAAATGTGACATGCTCATAGTTGAATCGAGCGGCTCGACGAGACAAATCCAACGAGCCTAAGATCGTTAAATTTTGACATCATTAAGATACAATTTTTTATAGATGATCCATAATAAAGGGAAATAATATTGATCATCCATTGCAACACTCCCAACATTCTATTTGATCTTCTACATATTTATTAGTCATGCCTCATTAAAAAAATTATAAATAGATCACTCATTCTTCATAAAGGGGGGGAGGAGAGGAGGAAGATAAGAAAAACTAAGGATCACAAAGCCATGCCACTCAAACATGTAGCTCTTGATCTTCTCTCTTTCTTTCTCAAGCTAGCGCCACTAGCCGAATCTCTTCTAGATTACCGATAGTCATTGGACTCCGACCATGCACCGACTATCATCAAACTTCTGGCTATTCATTGGTTGTTGTTAGATATGTTTGCAACAATCAAACATTTTCTAGCATCTATCCAACGACTAATTAATAATGAATATCCAGCCATATCTAGGCATTGATGAAACATTCTTTGTTATTCAATCAACATCAAGGAGACTAATCTTCGGAATTGTGGAAATCTCTTAAGCATATTGTCTTCTCTGTGATCTTAAGTTTAAGGGTTGAGCTGACGACGACGTCCGACAACAATCCTTTCAACCTCTATCGGCAGCCAACTACGGTCCCTTCGACCATCACCCGATTACGGTCCTTTCGATCTCTGTCATCCAACGACCATGATCTCCTCGGCTATCATCATCCAACTACATTTCTTTTGACCTTTGTCACTTGCCAACTATGATCTCTTCAACCTTCATCTCCTGACTATGGCCCTACCAATCAAATGAACAGCCCAATACTCCTAAGAGTAATTATCATATCACTGGGATTTCCCATGTAATACAGCACCATATATATCATGTATATTTGCTAAATTTGAACTAACACCCTCCTATGATGAGGGCATTATTTGTAATCTATCACAAATATTAGTAGAATCATTTTTGACAGAATAAGCCTTTATATTTTTTTTCTTTTTTTAAGAGTTTTTATTTGTTTGTGAACTTAATCTTCATATGAAACTAGAATGCTGAACTTTATATTTCTCTGATGCCATAAACATTCCACGACGCAACAAAGTTCATAAAAATAATCAAATTCTTAACTTATTAAATAAAAGAGTCAACAAAAAATAATCAATTTTGATATTAGAGTTAATGGACCATTAGGTAAGAATAAATAATCTTTTGCACAGCATAATTACAAATCTCTATATTTTTATTTTTTAATAAATTTAATTAAAAATAAATTTATAAATTTATACGAAGTTATTTTGGGCACAAAATTTTCCGCCGAATAGGCTCATCTGGACAGTAAGCGAAAGAACCGGCGGTACGGTGCAGCCACCGCTTGGGCACGTGGCGCTCCCTCCGTCGTCCGCTCTACGATGTCCCCTACCACACTTGAAGAAAGAAGGCCAGTTAACGGGCCCCGCTACACGTGTTGAAAATCTTTTAGAGATCCCTTAACGCCGTTATATATAGAGCTCGCATAATCTCCGAGCTAAACGCCGTTAGAAAGCCCTATAAATGAGCCCTCCACTTCCAGTTCTTCCTGGACGAAAGAAACCAAACAGACGACCAGTGAGCGAAAAAACCAGAGCACAAACTCAACTATTCACAATGAGAGCAGCGATTCTTAACCGTACAGGATCCCTCTCACCCGGGAGAGATGTCTCCGGCTTTTGTCCGAGATCGCCGGCCGGTGGCCATGATGCCGGCATATCATTATGCCGCCGGAGCAAGACCCAAAGGATGCCACTCGAAGTGAGGGAGAGGAGGAGCTTTTCTTCGCCGGCGGGGAAGGTCAATCTACTGCGGCGGGTCAGATCTGACACCGATCTTATCAGGTCGGCTCCAATGAGTTCATGCGGATCAAGATGGTTGCCGCCGGCGTTGCATCCGGACGTGAAGGAGGACGGTCTGCACGCCAGGGTATGGAAGGGGGTTTCTAAGGAGGTTGTTGTGGTGAAAGAGGACGAGGAAGTCGAGTTTTCCGGTGGATCAGGGAAAGGGAAAGGAAGGAAGAGCATGGGAGGAAGCTTTGGTGACGGCGGGAACGAGGAAAACGACGGAAATCGGATGATTGACCACTATTACCAGGAGATGCTGAGGGCGGATCCTGGGAATCCTCTCCTCTTGAGGAATTACGGAAGATTCTTGCACGAGGTAATAGAAATTAGAAAGAAGACAAAAATAAAGATTCAAAATCCCAACTACCCTTTCGGATTCTTGATTTTGATATTTTTTTTTTTTTTAAATGGAAGGTTGAAAGGGATTTAAAGAAAGCCGAGGGTTACTACGGCCGGGCGATCCTTGCCTGCCCGGGTGACGGCGACCTGTTCTCGCTCTATGCGCGATTGATCTGGGATTCTCACAGGGACTGCAAGCGCGCCGAAACCTACCATGAGCGCGCCGTGGAAGCCTCCCCTAATGATTGGTACTCTCTCTCTCTCTCTCTCTCTCTCTCTCAAAAGCTTCTGTGGGAAAGGAACTTTTGATGGTGATGGCGGGCGATTGTATTTGGCAGCTATGTGCTGGGGTCCTATGCGCATTTCCTCTGGGAAGCAGAGGAGGAAGGGGAAGAAGAGGGCATGGTGGATTCATCATCGTCATCTGTGGAAGCTTTCTGATTACAATGACGGCCTTGATCTGTTCTTCTTCTTTCTGTAAATAGCCCGAAGAAACTACAGTAACTAAGAGCTTGTGATGAAATAACTGACGGGACCATGGCTGCATGGGGAGAGAAGACTGGCTCCAAAATGGAGAAGGGATCGCCACCAGAGCTGCTGCTAAGTTATTGAAGGGTAAAATATATTTGGGCCAGCTTTCTGATCAAATTTTGATAGCATGGATTTTAAAATTATTAAATTTATTTTAAGATAAATCATCAAATTATATTTATAATTTAATGATTTTAAGATTCAATCCGATCCAAAATTTGATCAGAAACTACTTCCTTCTTGTAGGGGGGCTGATAAGAAATAACCGAATGATCTTCAAGGATTCGTGGCGGTCCTTAGGGTTTTTTTTTTTTTAATGGCGAAATTATAAAAAAGTAATATTTCAAAAATAAAATATTATAAAATGAATGATGTATTGGAAACTTTTACTGCAGCCAATGAAGGCGATGATAGCTATTTTATTTTTTTAATTCGTAAATTACTGTATATCTATATTATTTAATATATATATATTAACTTGTAGCGAGTATTTCTGGAAATTCTATATGTTCATAATCTTGGTATATGAAATTTTTTTGGTAAATCTCAATATTTTGCCAGTTTTAATATTTATTATTTAATTAAATATAAATATATTAATGATATATTTAATTTTAATTTTTTCTTTTATTATTTATAATATTATTTTAAATTTACTTTTTAAATTAATTTTAATTATGCATTATTACAGAAAATTTAAAATTTATGTATATGTTAAATTTATATATATTGAGAATCATTTATAACTTGATATTTTTAAATTTAACAATTATTCAAAATTATTTATATTGAATTTTTTTGTCAAAATATTTTTAAACATGTTTTTATTATTTATCTTTTTATTTGAAATAAATTTGAATTCTACAGTATTTAAGTACAACAACAACAACATCAAGCCTTTATCCTATTACGTGGGGTCGGCTAATGTCATTATTGTTCGACAAGTTTTACGCTGGCTATCGACTACCTAACGCAACTCTCCACTTTTCTCATCCAGGACTTAGAACCTGACAACGGCAGTGTTTAAGTAGATTAATCAATATTTTCCGTATTTTATTTTTTGATCTATCAATCTAAAAAATGAATTTATTTAAAGAAAGCCCAAGCTTGAAAGTTTATTGGCCTTTCTTTTATTATAGCATTTATGTGCAACATATAGCATCATCTGTTATTGTTATTTTTTTTTTTTGGGTTATGTCCTATTTATCTGTTATTGTTAAATTACTAGTAATTTGTCTAATGAAATAGAGCTAACTATTGTTAACTATAAATGCTCACATATCTCTAATAATTTTTTAAATTGTATTTCACTTCTTTCATTAGATATATTACAGTGAATATTAACATTTAACACATTCTTTACTCATGAATTTGCTTCATAGTACTGTCTTATTGGTATTTTTGCCGTAACGATGGAATTAAAATGCTTTAGAACTTCTTTGCTTACAAAAACAATTAAGTGCTTATTTATTTTTTAACTGATTATAGTTCAACATTCTAGTTTGCAAGATAATGAGATAAAAAATATTATATTCTTCTATAATTTGAGGCATAATAGCTAGGTTTAAATCTCTTGCAAACAAGAAAAGCTTACATGTTGACTTCTGAGACATTTATAAACCCAGGGACTTCTTTGACAGCCGCTATTATTTTCTGTTTTCCCTTGATCAATCTCATCTATTTACTTCTTTCACCCCACAAATAGCTTCTAGTTAACAGGTGCTTCAAATTGTTTCAGCACCTTTGCCTCCCTTCAAATCAAGTTAATTTCATTCATAACATATCATTTTTCATATGATGTCCTCTTACAGAGAGGGGGTTCAAATTCCTTCCTGCAACTTCTTGTTCAAAGGTTCATCATATTTATTCAACTGCTAACCTCAAGTGCTGAAAATATAGGATGCCTGAACTACGATAAATTATTATGTGCACCATCTAGAGACGTCAACGGTACCGAGTTGCCGTTGCCGAATAGTCTCCAGACAGCGTTTGACATACACACAAAATATTTTTTCCTGAACTACACTCATAACTATTCCAACATGTCAAATCACTAATAATTGCATCATGTACGCCTACAAGCTATCTTACATATCCTATCTCTCATCATGTGAAAGGATCTATAACAAGAAATTATTCCGTGTGGAGTCCGGCTTGAAAATTTTTTCTGGACTGTGAATATACACATTATATACATTTAGTATAATTTTTATACACAATTTGGTTCAAATTGTGTACACATTTGTACACAGTATGTACATTCAATCCGAACATAAACTTTCGGTCCGAAATAATTTCTCGTAGCCCACTGAGTAAAAGATATGATTGAGATCACATATTCAAGTCACATATGAATTACAACTCATCAGTTCAAAAAAAAAAAATCTCTTTCAACATTGTTTCAATAACTTCATCACTTCTATGGATTCAATAAAGTTTTTCAAAAATTAGTATACCATTCTCATGTCATAATTTGGACGGAGAAAATCTCAAGGCTAACCCAGTGAAGGAAACCCACCATCCACATTACCCACACAAATAGAAAGCGAATGAACGCACACATAGTGTAAAGTGTAAACCAGAATATACGAATAAAAATTTCGGCTAATAAACTTTCATCTCAGTACCTGATGGGGAACAAAGATTTCTATGGAAGGATAGGATGGTATGTACAATGCGCAGCACAGCAGCTTGGATAGAACTGGATACATCACCACGTGATACAAACTGGAACGAATACAGCAGCTGGTCCAGCTACTCTACAGACAATCATAGAGAAGCTGCCTATTTATGGGCAAACTATTAGGTGCGGACACCGGACAACGAGAATCATCCGGATTTCTCTCTACCTACAGTAAAAGCACAGTTACTGTAGCAGCTGTGCCTTGACTATAGATAGAAAGAAATCCGGATGATTCTCTCTGTTCAGTGTCCGAACCTAATAATTTCTCCTATTCATGAAGCTAAGTTATATACAAAGAAAATAAAGAAAATAAGAATGCACTTGAGCTTCAGTTCAGTTAGCCATGACCTTGCTGTTAGCTTCACATTCAGCCACCTGATTCTTGCTAAATAATGTCGGTGTCACTGAAACGATACCAATAAAGAACAATGTAGCTATGGACTGGAAATCATAGAGGTCGCCAATTGATCTTAGTTCTCCCAGGGCAATACCAGCCTGCATTGGAGGATGTGATAAGTAGACAAATACATTATTTGAAGAGGAGATTACTGTCAGTAATGGTGAACGATACCTTGACTGTCACATAAGCAGCTGGTATGAGCCCAATAAAAGTTGCCAGGAAGAATATATGATAGGGTACATCTACTATTGGTGAAGCCACGTTGATGAAAGTGTTTGGCAAGGTGGGCGTGACTCTGAGGAAAAGCATGTAGTTCAGTAGCTTTTCCCTTCGTTTCGACACCTGCCGAAATTAAGAGGTAGAAGATGAGAGAAACATGCACTGCATCAATTCTACATAAGATTGTTCAGTGTTTAGGGACGAATTATGTTCAAAAGTAGAGATATTTTGACAATTTCACAAAATAAGTTCAGGAGCATGGACAATAGACACTATTGGGAGTACTAGAAAGTAATTATTTCACAAGCTAGGGGCACCTTCTTTTTAAAGTGCTTCAAAACATTTGCACATTAATTGAGATTTGAGAGAAGAAAGAAAATAAGAGAAAATACAGGATATATTCACTTCATTAGGTTGAGACTCTTAATAGAGAGAAGCAAAATTATTCATAGAATTTGCTATTGGGTCAGGAAAAGAAGAAAATAAATGTTAAAATTAAGTTAACATATAAACTCCTAAAACTAGAGAAAAAGTTAGATTTCTTTTATTAAAATTAAAGGTATTTTTCTGTCTCGACTTTCCGCTTATTCGAGGAAGATACTTATCCTTCGTACATAAAATTTTACCTCTTTTAGATTAGATTCCTCATTAAAAACTCCCAATAAAAAAAAGTATTTATTTCTTTCAAATTCTCACTGCTAAGATGGAATGTGTTCCATATACATCAATCCCACTTCACACACTTATAGGTAGGTTTCAACAACTAGGCATACCTTCTTAAGCAGTTAATGAAAACATAGGAAGACGTGAAATTAAAAAATAATAAGTATTTGAAAGCTGACGTTAGTACTTTAACTCCAATACTATTGCCTGATATGATAATTTTCTACTTAAAAAGTGATAGGTCAAGTTCGTATAATGCAATAAGAGAGCGAGCATAGCCAGAATTTACCTGTGCTTGGAAATATACAAGTTTGTCTGGCCATAGTGAGAAGGCAAGAGGCCTTCCTATCAACTTTGATAGGAAATAACAGGATGATGCACCGGCAGTGGCAGCAAAGACCACCAGAGCTACACCTTGAAAGACTCCAAAAAGAGCACCAGCAAGCAGGGACATGAAAATAGTCCCTGGAATCATGAAAGTTTGCATGAAAATGTAAACTGTACAGTAACCCACCAAGACTTGTACAGTATAGTCACTTGCGTAGCCTTCCAGATGGTCCCTGCATAAATTAGAAAATGGCCAGCCTAAGCTACTGATTCATCCTTGCATAAAATAGGGTAATACTTAAACAAAATTGCAATAAAAGTGGAGCAAAATCATTCATCAATTAAGTGCCTTAGAAGCACTTCAATTCCTCGAACTATGCAATTTAATTCTGGCACTGTCCCAGATCAACATTAATTGCATTGGAGTTAACCACGCAAATGCAGAAGAATTAGAGAGGAATTATTAAGATGTCAAGTATGGAAATCAATACAAATCTTTCTTGTAAATTATATGCAAAATGAATGAATGATTAAATGTACCATCTCGATTATCAACAACGTTTACAGAGTTCAAGCGTTGTGAATAGTAAATGTAACATTAAAAAACTTTGAAAATTAAAATTTGATCCAATTCGATTCAACCAAATAATGTCAGAGAGAGAGAGAGATGGGGACCACAGATGAACTGATCAAAGAGTTAGAGGATTAGAGTCTTGTGCAAGCTCTTATAACATGGATGAATTATTCTGTGCGGACGCCGAAAGCCGTCCAAAGCCCAATGAAAATGCGCCACGTCACCCCCTACTCGGTACCGCGGCTTGGTACTGCTCGGTACCAAGCTCGGTACTGGATGACGTGGCTGCACCTAATTCGTCTCTGGATAGTAAGTTGTGTCCAGTGTCCGCACAAAATAATCTCTCTAACATGACCTCATAATGGATGATTAGAGAGTTCTAATCTAGGGCATTATGCCAGTGACTGAAAAGGCAGCTTAATTTTCTAGGTGGCACACAATGTGCCACAATTCATGGAGACAGAGGCAGAGAAGTGCCACAAATTTATGGATTAAAAGATGACATATGTCCCTAACTTATATCAATATCAATCAAGATCACAAACAACGAGCAGGTGGAAAAAGCCTAACTAATAGACCAAGACTAGGAGCATGTGTGTGCAAAAAAAGATCAAGGAACGGGAGGCTGGGGATAGTTAGAAAAGTGATGTCAATAATATAAGAAGCATCCTAATGGTCAACAGAGCTGTGCTCATTAAAAGGACACTCAACATAACACAGCAAATAGAACAACAGAGTAGTGCCCAATAACAAAAACAATAAGGTTTTGCTCTTAAGGGCAAGGATCGGATATCATTCCCATTTTCTTTGTGCATTAGTTGTGATATTTCTAATAGTCAGCAATACTGAGCCTTGCGTGCTTATTCTCAATGCGGACAGCTTGGACATATAATGAGAGTTTGCACATAACATCCGAAGGAAAATGACTGTGAACGCCATGACCGCGGAGCACAAACAGCTAGGACTGGCCAGAGTACTGGCAGTTGATAGTAGTTGAGGCAATGACAGTTTCAGGAGCCAAGTGATTAGATTTGTGCCTATGCACTGACACAACATGTGCCGCACATTCTTTTATGTCTATTGCCTTTGTTATGTGTATAAATTGAGCAAGTAATCTTAACTTCTAAGATGCATGTTATGCTTCATATTGGAGACAATTTTAAGCCAACGCATATATTAGTTGATTGTGATGTGACTATAATAATTAATAGACATCTATTATTAATTTTATTATTATACCATTTAATGGTTTCAATATTATCTTTAGCGTGAGATGGCTGTCATCACACTTTGCCACAGTTAATTATTCTGAAAGTATGTGATGGACCGGCTGAGCCGGTGGGCCCCACTAAGGTGGACAGCAGCGGGCAAGAAGAGAGGGGGTCAAAGGGAGATTAATTACTTACCGTAGAAGACCAAAATTGGGAGGGAATTAGGAATATTTATTTACAGAAAGAGGATTGATTTGATTGGGAATGAATTAGGAAGATATATTTAGGGAAAGATGTCTAATTTAATTGAGAGGAAATTAGGAAGGTTTATTTAGGAAAAGAGGGCTGATTTGAATGCGGATTTGGAAGAGAATTAGGAAGCTTTATTTAGTGAAAGATGGCTGATTTGATTTCAGATTTGGGAGAGAATTATTTAGGGAAATAAAGCTGATTTGAATTCAGATTTTGGGAGGGAATTATAAGAGCTTATTTAGGGTTAATTATGTTGTTTTATTTTCATTATGTGATTTATGTTTTTGTTATAGCTTTTCTTTGAAGTTGTTCCAAGCGACACCTAGGGTTTGTGGAGAACTGATCTACTTCTCTAATGGTAGATCAACTTGTATCTTAATTTATAGCGTCAATACAAAACTCTTTCTCTCTGATTTCTTTTGCGTTTTTTCTTTATTATTGTTGCTTTGTTGTGTGGAGATTGGATTATTACCAAATTGGTATCATAGCACCATTTTTTGGATCTATGACGACTAAGAAGGTTGATGCGTTGAAGGAGAGGCTTGTTAGGGAACTTAAAAATCTGAAATCTAAACTCATAGAGTAAATTTTAACAATTGAGGGCAAACTTTCGAATATGGAAGAAATGGTGAAAATGATGTTAGAGTTTCAAGCCAAGACATCATCATTGGAGGCAAGGGAACCATTGACCTGACAAGAAAGTAGGGGAAACCCAAATATAGGAACAATGAGGGAGGATTGAAAGGTAAAAATTTTGAGGGAAAAAGAATAGACGCCACCTTTGGAGCAACTTTCAAGGAGGGGAAAGGGTTGGTGGTGTTGCAGAGCTTGGAAGGAGAAGAAGATAGGGAAAAGATAGGAGCATCAGACGTGATTCAGTCACTCCTACAACAGTATTGAGAGGTGTTCCAACCAATTCAGAGGTTGCCTCCTCTGCGGGAACACGAGCATGTTATCATCTTGCTGTGAGAACACGAGCATGCTATCATATTGAAGGAAGGAGTCTCACCTATCAATGAATTAGGAAGATGCTGGAGGCAGGGATCATTTGACTCAGAGTCGGTCCATTTTTCATTGTAGTGCTATTAGTCCAGTGGTTCAGTAGCAATTTCTTTCGTTCCATCTTGAGGACAAGGTAACTCTTTAGGAGCGAGTATTGATGGACGGGTTAAGCATGTGGGCCCCACTAGGGTGGATGGTGGGCAATGAGAGAGAGGGGTCAAAGGGAAATTAATTACTTACCATAGAAGACCAAAATTGGGATAAAATTAGGAATGCTTATTTAGGGAAAGAGAGCTAATTTGATTGGGAGAGAATTAGAAATGTTTATCTAGGGAAGGAGGGTTGATTTGATTAGGAGGAAATTATGAATGTTTATTTAGGGAAATAGGGTTAATTTGATTGGGAGGAAATTATGAAGGTTTATTTAAGAAAAAATGGCTGATTTGAATTCATATTTGTAAGAGAATTATGAAGCTTTATTTATGCCGTTTGTGGAGAGCCAATCTACCTCTCTAATAATTGATCAACTTGTATCTTGGTTTGTTGTGCGAAATAAAAATCTTTCTCACTGATTTTTGTTGCGTTTTCCTTCGTTACTATTTCTTTTTGTTGTGTGGAGATCGGATTCCTATCAGTATGTTATTTTTCGTTTGTCTAGGATTTGAGTTTTACATTCATGGAATTGACTAGAAGCCTCTCTCACTGACATCCCATAATGAAGCTCATAAGTAGTTACGAGGAGGTTGTCAGACTTTTTTTCATAATTGATTCAAGATCAAACACAAAAAGCTTAGAGTGAGCCCGCAATGAAGGAATGGCATGATTTGATTCGGATGAGATGTCAAAACAAACTTCTATTTGAAAGTTTGAAACGTTAAGTTTGTTATTAACTTACTCCCTAGACCACACGTATATCTAAGGAGCAATATAAAATGGTTATTGTTGAATTCTAGGAGTTTAAAGCTCAGCTACATGAAATGTTGGATGGGGATTTTGTATATCTTAGTGTATCTATTTGGGGACCATTTATTCTTTTTTGTGAAAAAGAATGATAGTTTAGATTGTATATTGATTATATATATAGTGAGGCGAATGCCCCATGCCAGCGAGGTGAGGCACGCCTTAAGGCGGGCTTCAGCCAATATGAGGTGTAAGCCTCATAAGAAAAAAAGCTTGAGGTGTAAGCCACGAGGTATTTTTCAATGGAATTGTGTTGAGATGAGCCTCATGTTGCGCAATTTTAGACAATGATCTCAAGCATAGAGATGTTCATTTTTTAAGTTGAAGATCAAATATCCCTCAAACTTGTCTCCTATAAAGGGGGTTTACCAAATTTGTATTGAGTGTAAAACTTAAACCAAGATTCATTGGACCTTTTAAGGTCATCAAAAAAGTAAGAAACATTATTTATCATTTGACTCTTCATTTCAGTTCTTATAGTGTATATTGTGTCTTTCATGCATCATTGTTGAGAAACATGTATCTAATCATTCTCATATGATTCAACACGAGCCACAACTAATTTGAGAAGATCTGCATTATGAGAAATTACCACATTGAATGCAAGTTTCAAGAACTTCAACAATAATCTATTCATTTTGTGAAGGTAATCTAGTGAATCATTCTATGACCAAGGCTACTTGGGAGTCTAAAGAAGAGATGTGTGTTATACATTAACTTCAAATTTGGGAATAAAAGTATGATTCTATGTATGCATTAACTTCGAATTTGGGAACCAAATCCCTTTTATGTGGGAAGAATGTACATGAAAACAAATTTAAAAATTGTGAAATTGAAGGGAAAGGACAATGGATAAATAAATCTCAGGCCATTTAGCTCAATAGCAAGTGCCAACAGAAAAAAAAAAAAAGGTCATGAATATATATAAAAGGGAAAGGAAAGTTGATAAATAAATATTAGGTCGTTCAGCAATCATCATAAATTAAAATCTAAGCATAGTGCGTGTTAATCTTTGAAAAAGATGACATAGCTTATCTATCATACATTCATAATTGATTATATTTACACTTTTAGAGGGTTATCTAGGTACTCATATCCACAAGCATGAGAGTAAAACAAGATCATGTAAGAAAAGGCAAATCATTTCAATCAAAAAAGAAAGCTTTGGAGGATTAATTAATATTTAGATGACTCAAAAAAAAAGAAGATTGCTAGATTATAAGAAAAATTTTGT